GCTACAGTGGCACTAACTGCCTCACGCTGCTGATCACCTAGGGCATGCTCTATGATAGCCGCTAGGATAAGTTTGGTCTTGTCATCTTCTTTCTTGAGCCTATAAGCTTCAATCTTTGCCTCGGCAAGTCTGCGAGTAGATTCCATGGTGTTTAATCTGAGGTCCAAGCAGAGGCGGTAAAGGCTGTCGAGACAAGGTGCGCCACGCACGTGACTTTGCAATCGGGCACCGTCAATTTGGAGCACGGTGGTTGTGGCACCTCACAGTCAACGACTTGCAAGCGCACAACGGTCACAAACGCTTATTCAATAGCATTTTACTAATACATGTAAGGTAACAGCACTCATCCAAACAACTGTTGGTCGTGGGGCGTTCCGTACATTCCAAAATTCCAGCTCGCAGGCTGCTTCCATCCTGCACTCGTCATCGTCAGAACGTACAGACACATGGGAAATTCCACTCGCCTTGGATTTCAATTTTCAATGTGTTAGCGACCATCGATGCCATAGCGTGGGCGTCCGGAATATTGTCGCCCTCTGCGACGAACTGAACCAAGGCTATGCGCGGTGGATGAGATCCAGGTGCGGCGAGAAGCCGCCGGGCGAGGCCGGTTCCGGGAATCACGGCACCTGCGCGGTCGTCGTTGTCGGGCGGGGGGTCCAGCGTCGGGAGGCCGAGTAAGCTACCGAGAGAAGTTGCGGAAATAGAATCGGGGGCTGTATCCTTGGCGAGGAGGTGGTAATACATAGAGCTGGGGAATGTGAGACGGAGCAAATATGGTGTCATTTTACGCACCTCATCTGCGCGTCGGTGCGTGTTGATAGGTCGGACCCAACGAGGAAGAGCACCGAGCCAAATCCGCTGGATCCAATCATTTCCAAGAGCCTCTGAACAAATGCGTCCTTGTGATCCTAGAATCGCAGTTAGAGTCAGGTATTACAAATGACGGTGAAATGATCAAAAATAACTTTTAGAACCGGCGATCGCTGTTGTAAAACGTAGACATCGCCTCCCGGAAGACCGAATACTGGTTCGTCAAAGCCAGACAGTCAGATCACAAGCGAGATGTGCCACGATCGACTTGCATTCCATTGGTGCAGAAACGCCAGCACCATTTGAACCGTCCTGACCGCCAACTACTGGGACATGATAAGAGGGATCAAATACGCCAGCGCGACGGAGACCCAGTGTATGGATAAGGAGGTCTGCTGATAGCTGGGTTACATTGCCGGCGGATATGACCGGCTGGAAACAGTTGTCAATATCAGGCGGTTGTCGAGTGATGTGCGCTGACCATTATTATGATGGAATTAGTGTTCCGATTTGGCAACCCTGGCCCGCCCTCTGCCGAGCGAAAAAACGGACGCGCAACCATGGTGGAGGTCCGGACGATTGTTGGCTGCTGTGTGGCTGTGTTGTGTCCACATGACCTCACCCCATTCAACATGCCAACATGTCAATCCCCTGTCGATTTCTGGCCTCTTGGCTTGGTGCCTTCATATTGTTGTCGCAGCCACGTGGTTTCCATTAAGCAGGCCACGTGGGGGCAAAGCCAGAATGCTTATACCCAACACCGCCACACATCGCTTTTTGTTGCTTGACGGCGGTTGTCATCTGTGCTTTGCCACCACCGCTACCACGACGACCACCGTAAACCCACTATTGTTGTCTTTTGACCGTCTTTGACCTAGGGTGACGACCACGGCTGCTCCAATACGCTCTGTTCCTAGGCTAGACGGTTTTGCCATATCTCATCGCGCACAGGCAGGCACGTCCGGCCCAACGTCCCACCCGGGAATAACACTCCTATCGCTCATCTGGGGGATCTGCGGCTCCAGGGGGCGCGACTACCCAGGGTCAATAATCCAGCGTCATGCGCGAAGAGTTCTCGCTCTACTGGAAATCGGGCCATTGCTACTTGGCTCCGCAGCTCCCAACACGCTATCTCTCTCTGGGTTTTATATTTCATATTTCGTACCACACTGGGCTGCTCGGCATCTTAGACTGCTTAGCTAGCCCATCTAGATACTCGTAATGGTACCCGATTGGAACCCTCCGTCGTCACTATCTCTAGGAACCTGCTACTGTCATACCAACCTATTAGGCAAGTGCTCACCTTCATCACGACCTCCATTAATGAGAGAAGCGAGCATGCAATCCTCGTCTCCTAGCTTGGTTTCGCAGATCCTCCTAATATCAGCCGCCCACAATAACCCCTTTGTCTGTCTTACTACAGTCGGCACTTTGACTGGCGATCGTATGGATAATGTCATTCCATGACCTCCTCTATTCTAGCTCCAAAACCTTCCTGAGAATGATATCGCTCATACCTGTCGTTCCATCCACACCTACTGCAGTCATCAGGTCATTGGATCCTCTGGAGATGGTTCGATAGGCCAGGTCCACCAGGGTGGATCTTCTTGCTCGCGTGGCCATAGAAAGGCAAAGCCACGCGAGATGACTCTATCACCAACAAACTCATCCCTCTCAATTCAACCAAGCGCTCCCTCGGCGGCTACCAGCCATTCACTCTATTACACAATCCCTGATTTGCAACTTCCCGATCTCTCCTCTCATTTAGTCTTTTCTAGCCGTGCAAGGCTTGTCTTCGATTGTTACAGGCTTCTACTCCACTTTCGCTCGTATTTAAGCCACTCTCACGGCTACCACTTTCACTCTCCTCCTCACTCTCTAACTATGACTTCTCGCTATTGGGACGAGACTACCGGCGGCGTCGTCCACTTGGTGCATCCTTCGCAGGGGAGCGAGCCCTCGCGCTCGTCTGGCTACGATTCAGACGACTCGGAAGCGTCGAGTGGTTCCATGACCACCATTGGCTCCGACGAGGCTGGAGGTGAGCATTCAGCCAGTCGCCACCCGCGGTTACTCACCTGCTCTCCAGAATATTTCCGCGAGGTGTTTGGGCGCCGCTTTCCCGCCCAGGACGGCCTCCCCCTCACATACCCCGTTGACAACGAGGAGCTCCTGCGGTCTGATCTCCAGCACGCGAGCCTCAAGCTCCTCATGGACGGGAACCAATGGCGCCCGATCATCGAGGCTCTTGCCCCCACCCGCGGTCGCCGCAAGCGTGTGCTCGACCTTTTCACGAGGTCTGGAACATGGTGCGTCTTCAATCTTGCGTGGTAGTGCCCGGTCTTGACATCGCATACGTCAGGGTCAAAGAACTCGCGTCCGAACGACCCGATGTCGATTTCGTGAGCGTCGATATAGCACCTGCCGCACCCCACACTCCGAATGCGAACACCGAATTCGAGGTGTACAACATACTAGAAGGTATTCGTGCTGAAGACGCGACCTTTGACCTGGTTCACTGCAGGTTCACGATGACCATGGTAAGCATTCCCTCACTTTTTTTGTCCATCGATCACTATACTGCAAATGGGCATTGCATCGTTTTCACCTGCTCTGTTGATGACTTCCCTACCGAGACGACCCGTTCGATGTTCTGACACTCATTCCGTATCTGTTTCTCTAGTTCCGAGACTATCGAGCCTTTCTTCCAGAAATTCGCCGTGTGCTCCGGCCAGGCGGACTATTCCTTTTCTGCGAATCCGAGCTCGAAGTCTTCGACGCGTCCGACCCTCAGCTCGTCCGCCCTGCGACCAACGCGCCCGGGCTCACACGGTTCGTGCGCACCGCGCGGCGCAACTTTGAGCAACAAGGTATCTCGGCCCGCGCACCGACGCATATGCCCGCGTGGTTGGACGCCTTGGGCGGATTTCAGCCTGCTGTCAAGGAGATCCGGGCGGTGCCAAACGGGCCGTGGCATCCACATGCGTTGATGCACGACGTTGGGCTCACACACGCCCGCGTCTGGAAGGGCACGACGTTTAGCTTGCGCCCGATGATGATGACGTTTGGGTTGTCGGGGGAAGAGTGCGAAGCTCTGACTCAGGCTGTGTTGCGGGATCTGAGGGATCCGAACGTCCAGACAGTTGCCAAGTTTCATATGGTATCAGCACGCCGCAGTGCATAATTTCGGACTCGGATATTTTCTTTTCGACTGAATTTATTAAAGCCTATTGTGACTGAAATAAAGTTTTCTACTTTTTCCCGTTTTTGTCTAGATTAGATTGAATCGTTCTATTTATTCTTCCTTCCGTTATTGATATTTGCTTTCCTGTAGATTTTCGGACTTTCTCTTTCGTTTCGTCGACTGAATCTGAACCTAAACGTTATGGACTGTACATAGAACATACTCTCGAATCGTTTATTCTTCCATATTTCTTAGCTTTGAAATAGAACCTGAATTGCAGTGATATACTTGGTGGGACAAACCTCGGCACGTATTCGAACACCTGACGAACACACGATCCCTCGACTGGCCAATCTTCCGAGCGACGTAAGCCCGCTCGACTCGAAACTAAATTGCGGATCGACGGTGTATTTCAACTCGGTGCCGCCCTAGGTGCTTCCAGATGGGTACCCTCTTACTAAAGCTGGACTCGCAGTCGAATGATCTGAACCTGGTAGGAGCATCTATGTTTACCGGTTCGAGATGGGTTCCAGGATAACGGGGCCTAGTAATTCGAGTGACGTGTATGCGCTCGGAGATATATCTGACGCAGATGCGCGCTTGTACTGAACTGTGCCAGCCGCGGCCCAAGGTAAGTTTGCCACATATGAGGTGCTCCGAGGTATCGGTTTGCGTGGGGATCAGTGCGCCACAGGCGTCGATGTATGTTCACCGAGTATCATACATTGAATATTCTAGAACACCCTCTTGGCTAGTCTTTCTTACCTGGTGGTGGATGGAATGTATGTCTACATTTACGCATACACCTACCACTAAGCTGGGCAGTGCCACTCGAGCTCATCGAACCAAGAAGTAAGCTTTTTATTCTAGAACGAACCTCGGTATTCTAGGTCGTGTGAGAAATATTTGGACACGATGTTCTAGGAAAGAACGTCGTGAACTTGATGCGAAAATGCCCGAGAGAGCACGTAGAATGTGTTGATCAAGTGGCGACTCAATTTAAGCCCGGCTAGCTCAATCGGTAGAGCGTGAGACTTTTACAAATGCATGATTATACAATGCAGGAGTCACGTGATCTCAAGGCTGCGGGTTCGAGCCCCGCGTTGGGCTACTCTTTTTGCGCTCCTTTTCGCGTCCGAAAAGGTCTGGTAACATGAAAAATCGATCAAGGAAACAACCAGACCTTTTAGTCAAGTTTTGGAGACGAAAGTTGGATGTTGCTGGGTACCTCAGCTATGACTGTCAGAGTCTCAAGATAGGCTTCCTATGATGTATTACAGCTTCTCAAATTTGGTTAGACAGGTGATACTAAGAGTACGTAGTATTGGGTGTTGCGGCACGGTAGCCCTCAGCCCTCACAGAATGGACCAGGTGTCTGAAAAAACTAGCACGGACCAACGCTCTGACCCTAAGCGCTGGGAGCCAGCCCCCACTTGTGGAGCACTTTGAAATCAGGAAAGCTCTCCCACCACATCTCCTACTAAACATTATACGTGAGTAACGACATTCCTGGGTCGTTTGTCAACTAACATCTATCTAAATGGCACCCAGAATACTCGGAGGCTACTTGCTAACCCGCCAGGAGGCTGTGAATGGCGCGCGCAAACTTGGTCTTACATGGGACTCAAACCCCAAAACCACGCATGGGTGTCGCTCCGAACTTAACAGGACTCTAGGCTCCGGTCCTGCATTCTCCAGCCATCTTCTTCGAGGAGGCTGGGGAGACCATAACCAAGCTTATTTTTTCTACCGTTGGGTCAGAGCGCGAGGTCCAGGATCGGAGCTTTCGCTTCTGTGAGGGCGAAGGTACAACTGCCATGTTCAGAAAGGGAGCTAGGAGAATAAGCGTGCCGGACGAGACGTTCGAGAATTTTATCACTGTTCAAGTCAAATATTCGCTTTATCCCAGACCACCGACCTATGCGGCCAAAGGAAGAATGGTCATCTGTGAGCCCCGCATTGTAGCATTTATCGAGCATATTATTGCATTATGTCTTTTGGACTGCTCGAATCTAACACTTGCCTTTCGTTTCTGTGGTTGAAGTAAGCACTTATTCTTACGGATTAGAGCACGTTTGTGTATCACTACGTACTACACAATAGTGAACACCTGTGCACATCAATGCAACTGATCCGCTGGGCCCCATTCGTAATACACTTCGCAGTGCCATGGGTTAATCCTCCACCAACCCGCACGCCTCTTCATCCCGCGTTTTGTCAGCTCAGCCTGTCAATGTGCTGAGCTCGGGGAAGAAACGCGGTTAGAAGCAATACTCAAGGACCGGACCAGCACTCATGAAGGTCTTGCGGGCTGGATCCATGCGGCGGCATACACTGCTGTAATGAACACACAAATGCATTACTAGCTCAGAAAAAGATAGTTCTCAATCAAAACAAAATTGTAACAACATTTACGGCCTGTTCGAACGGCCGCCGAAGGACGCAGCAAGAAAGAAAATGTAAATTAATCAACCCACAAAAGCCTGGCTATGGACCATATTCCCCCACGCATTACTATACGTGTGGCACCGGGCGTACAACATCCGGGTACGTCTCGCGGATCATCTAATAAAGGTGTCAAATGAAATTCGTTGTGGGGGTAAGAAGAAACAGAAATGGCCGTAAGCAAATGAAAAGCATAAACAACATGATACACTTGCCTCGAATAGACCAGGCGATCGTTCGGCAAGAACCTGAGGGTCCTCTCCAAGACCCACGAATCTGGTCGATAATGGTTATATTAGCCGTCAAGCAAGCCGATTGGGTGGGAGCAGTACGCACATAGTGGAGACGCCCGCTTCGATCGCAGACGCAAGTGTCAAAGCTACAAACGAGTATCACATGCGAGTCAGTTTGGTATGGGAAGCGGGGAGTGATTTGTGGCGTACAGCATTGAAGCCCGATCACGAATGCAAACAGTAGGACGGGAGCAGTATACTGTCCATCCGAGTTGTAGGCGGGGTTCGTGAGGCGCAGATAGACGTAGGCGAATAGGCTGCACAGAAGGCCAACAAGGTAGGCGCCCCAGGTCATAGCTACAAAGTATCGGTTAGGAATAGCATTCAGGGGTTTGATTGCCGACCTACCCATTCCAGTGAGCGAATCGTTGATCAGTGCGTCAATACCGCGATCCTTAAACAGACGCCAGGTGTCTTTGGCAGCCGGAATATATGGCTTTCCATATAACGCTGTCAAATTGGGCCGATCAGCAAAGTTCAGCGGAACAGGAATGAGTCAAAAGTACACACCGATCTCAATGTACGCATATCGGTTGAAGTACTCGACCATCGACTCGATGCACCCCACGAAGCAAGCAGCGCAGCACGCCAAGGCAGCTTCAACAGCTATACAAGGTCGAGAGTTAGCACGCACAATCACCGCATTCAAATCCTCCACTTGAAACATCAGGCTTAGCGCCACACCAGCCCCCGCCTCCAAAAAAACAACAGAAAATTCACTTACGGCTTCCACTCTCGGCAGCATTCTGCCGAACCGCATTCAAAATGATCCTCAACAATTCCAACAGCGTTACAATCAACGACCCAAACGCAATCGACCCAAGAGACAGAGTTGACGCGCGGACAAAGGCCGAGAGCGAGGGGTTCTTTGGCTAAATCCAGTAATAATTTAGACAATCACACCCACCGCACCACTCGGTCGTCAGTATGAATAACACCAAGGAGAGGAAAAGAAACGCACCATCATTCCCATACTGCTTGGCCCGTAATAGTACCACCCTCCATATGGTCCACCAGCCATAGTCGCGAGGCAGACGTTCCCGATCACCTGGGAGGTCCAGAGATAGGAGAAGAGTTCAAAAAAGACCAGACCTGTGACTGTGCCCGAGGAACAAGAGGTTCCCTTAGCACATGCTAGATAGGGGTAAATGGTTAGTGCCGGAGCGTAACCATCGTTGAGATCAAGAGGCTGGCCAACTTACCGCTGCTGTCGGGAGTCCACTTGGCGTAGGTCGCAATGACGGTGAACACAAACCAGCTGAATTATATAGGTATTTGTTCAGTAAAACGTCGACATAGGGAACGAACGGTACTTGCACACTCAGAAGCGCCTGCACGATTAACCCAGTAAACGCCACAACGTAGACGCTCTTATGATGCTTGGATACATCGATTACGACCTAGAAAACAAGATTAATCAATACAATTGAACCATACGAGTAGACGTATTTTGAGCTGAAATTTGCTCCATCCACACTAGCGCCATAGCAAACTGAGCCAACAGAAGAGCTCGACGCCGCAGCAAGGATGGGGCCAAATCGAGTGAAGCTTACCTGCAGCATAAGACTAGCCAATGGAATCCGACTTCTCATCCCGAAGTACGATAGTATCCCAAATACGGCGATAATTGTGAAAATAATCGCCCCCGAGTAGTACTTAGTGATCCAGTAGTAGACGGCGATAGCTGATGCCAATCAAATCAAGTATCAGAATCATTCAACAGAAAGATTTAGCGGATGGAATGATAAACTAACCGATATTTGCTAAAATACTAAGAGCGAGTGTGACTTCAAGGATCACTTTTGTGAATGTTCGGACGAGCATGAGATAAATCGTTGCGAATACCATGGCTGCTGCTGTGACGAGTAGGAGGAGGTAAACAGTATGCCTGTGGAGGATGGTCCAATCTTTGGTCAGTTTTCGCATTTAGAATTGAAGATAATGAGAAGTAAAATCGAGAGAATTTAGGAGGCCGGAATCATTCAGGAAAGATTGGAATAAATTTAAACGGAAGCGAGCATGGTTGACGTACGAGTTCAAGGTAACGTTCGTCCCCCCTTGGCGGCTGCCTCCCACACCCCCGCTAGAAAGTGCACCATTCGAGATCCAACTCTGCAACGCGATACCAGAGACGGCAGCAAATCCAAGTAGCTTTTGGAATTCAATGTATGACATCAGCACCCTACCAAGCCCAAACCGCAAATAAACTTTGAGTGTGAAACTCACCTGAGCGATGAAAAGTATCAAGAACGGTATGTCGTGCAACTTGCTTTTCGGCTTGAACCTCTCCCCATACTCGTCTGTCTTGGCCTTGTAATCGCTGAATCCGGCGACAGGGGGGTTGACCGGTGCGGCGTATGGCTGAGATGGGGGAGGGTACTCTCCACCTGCGCCTTGCCACTGGTTGGGACCTGCGTTCCACTGGCCGCTGTTCGGACCGTAGCCTTGTTGCTGGTTATTATAGCCCTGTTGCTGGTTGTTGTAACCTTGGGGTGGGCCGTTCCATTGGCCTTGCTGGTTCCAAGCCATGTCGATCGAGCGCAGATAGTTAGCTTAGTTTCTCAGATATCAGAAAACAGAGATGGTAGGAGAGACCAAGGTTCAGTGTCGTAAGAAAAGAGCCTAGAGTTGGGGAAAAGGGTGTAACGTCAAATGCCGGCAGAGATATCGTAGACACAAGCAAGTCAGACCCTCTGCACAGGAACGCTCTACGTGTAGGTGCCGTTGTAGAGTTTGATAGCTGTGCTGCAGGAGGCTGGGGAGCGCCTAGAGACCGGGCGCAGATAAGAAACAACTGCAAGTTTTGAACGACCCGATCAAGAGAGCGAATTACCGCCTGACGTCACGTGTCTTACGCATTGTTGACATCGAGGTCCTGGATCGTTCATATTAAGTAAGCCTCCTCTCCTCCCGCATTCGCACATCTGTGTATAGAAGCAAGGTGAACTACTGCCATTAGCTGCTCTCTGCTCTCCTATGCCTTACGACCATTCCTATTTCACAGCTCGCACGTCGGAGGATTTTGAATAGTCTGAAAATTTTGAACAATCCGACGTACAATTACAATGCTATAGTACATAAATGTTGCGCTGTTAAGATAACAAATTCACTTAATGGAGTGGGACTGCAGTAGAGCTGCTGCCAACAAAAGGCGATACAAAGCTGGTTACGGAACCCAAAATAGTGAAAGGAACTCGAAAACACTGGGGATGGCGCTTGGCTAATAGACGCGGAGAAGTCGTCAGTGGAATCTCAGGCGATAGACAAATATCGCGCCGAGTGTTTGATGATGATTCGTTGTAATTCTCCTCCGGATTGAGACTGGGTACATGCTCCCGGGGTTTCTTTCGTCAATCCGGCCATAGTGACTTT